AGGATAAAGGAAAGAGAAAGCCGGGCCTTGTTTGGAGAGCTGGCAGCTGCCCGGGAGCAGAGGGTGGTCAGCATTGGGCTAGAGGCTGGGTAGGGGTGGGAGGTGTGCAGGCTGACAGTGGCAGCCCTGGGGATGTTGGAGGGGATTGTGAGGAAACTGTTCATCACAGAGTAAATTCGTTCACAGTGGAGGTCGCCCATCCTTTCCCAGGGTGGAGTGGCCTCCGTGGGACCTCTGTTGGGTATTGGGTCAGGGCGGGTCTCTTTCTGGTCTTGAACACTTCTGCGTTCTCTACTCTTCTGGCAGACACAGCTGGGACACCTATGTGAGCCAGGCTGTGGGTGGCATGCAGGGGCTGCAGGAGGGAGATGGCCTGTCCACTCTGTAAGAGTTCCTGGCCAAAGGGTTAGGTGGGCAGGAGGCAGGTCCCCATGGCCTGTGATCAGGGACCCATGTGGCGGGAAGTGAGAGGAGGTAATGCAGAGGCCTTCTCCAGGCAGGGTCGGTTCCCACTGGCAGTGACGGCTGCAGTTGGGACAACAAGGTGTGCAGGGGCTGCCACCCACAGTGACTGTAGACAGAAAGGGCCACCAAGCACAGCAGTGTCTCTCGGTATCCTCATGGGCCACATGCTCCCTGTTCTTCAGGGGCCATCCTAGGTGTCACCTCTGGCAGAGCCCCACAGTCCTCACCTTTGGCTCCGGCTGCCACATCCTCTGGGAGTAGAGGATGAAGAACTTTTGGGGAGAGGGCTGGGGTGATCTTGGTCCAGACTACCGCTGACCTTGTCCTGAGCTCTTTCTCTGTCTTGAGTCTGACCTGAGCGGGACGGGTTGGGGCAGGAGCTTCGGCCGGCTCCAGCCTTTTTCAGAAGGGAAATGGTGCCTTGTATTAGGCCCAGGCCCCCGTCCCCTCCCCTCACCAGGGAACGAGCTCCCTAATGAACACAGGCTTGGGAACACCTGGCACACAGAGGTGGAGGCACTCAGAGCCCAGTGACTACCAGGGGACCACAGCAGGTGGGGACAGCAGGGGGGGCTGTAGAAACAGTTTGGGTGAAGCCTGTGATCCCCTGCCTAGGGGTATTTATATCTAGAACAGATCAGTGGTGAGGCAACTGGTGGGACTGGCCAAAATCTGGAGCCACCTAAGAGGTGAGGTTTCCGACACCAAGGAGTAGACAATACCATGGTGGGGAGGACCTCCTCTCAGAGGCCAGCAGCAGGCAGGGCCTCAGGGTGGTTCCTTACATCCCTCTCTTGGGTGTGACTGCTGAAAGTATTAGGAAAGATGGCCGTAGGATGTGGACATCCTGGGAATTGGCATTTGGGACGCATAACTCAGAGCCTGGGCCAAAGGGCCACCAGGCAGGGGAAGGGCAGCCGTCTCCAAGACCATGGGATGGATTAGAGGTGGGTCAGAGGACTGAGCTCCTCCCAGCGTTGAGGAGGGAGGAAATGAGGTCTTGCGAGAGACTGGAGCTCTACTGCAATTCAGGAAGGACCCCAACCCCAGGCGGGGAAACAGTGTCCCAGAGGAGGCCTGGAGGGCAGAGTGTCAGGTCCCTCTCAGCCTTTGTGGGGGCCAGTCTAGTCTTGGCCTTGCGAGGGACTCTGGGAATCCCAGCCACCAGTGCTAAAGAGCCTCCAGGTGGGGAGGAAGGGGAAGGCGTTATGGATCGTGGCAGGGAGTCAGCCAAGAAGCAGGGCCCGTGGAAAAGCTGCAAGGTGACTTGGTCTCAGGGAGGAAGACTTCAATCCGGAAAGGCCAGGACTGGGACTCTTAGAGGACAGGAAAGAATCCTTCCGGGACAGTCCTGGAGAGGCAGTGGGAAGCCAAGGAGGGGCTGTTCTGAGGAATGTGTGGGTAGGGGTGAGGAGCAGGCTGCGCAGCAGCAGCAGCCCACGGTGAGAAATACCGTCCCTGATGGGAGCAGGCCAGAAAAATCTCTCCACCCCTTCTGCCCCCTGACCCTGGGCTTTCTCTGCTCCTGGGAGAGGGGGGCCCCCAGAGCTTGTCTGCTCTTTTTCCGGAGGGTCAGGGCCCAGTGGGAGCCAAGTGAGGGGAGGTCTGGTGGGGGCTGGAGTGCAGCTGCAGCCGCTGGAGGCAGGCCTGGGGCCCAGATGGTCATCCGCCTGCAGAGCAAGAGGAGCAGGAGTAACCAAGGGCTGCCAGGGCAGATGGCTGGGTGGCCGGAACTGCCCCAGGGCTGATGTGGCCTGGAGGAGTAGGAAGACACAGAGGCCACCCTAAGTGACCATCAGGAGTATGTTGGGGGGAGTATTCTGGAGCGTCACCCTTCAATAGAAAACAGCATCACTGCTCAAACCAGGAGGCCTACTCCCAGAGAATGTTCCAGTGGCCCAGAGAGGGTGAGAGGTCTGTCTTCAGTGACTGGCCAAGTTTTAAACTTTCCCTAGGGAAGTCAGGGCCCACACACTGGCCAGACCTGGGTGGACCTCACAGAGGGATGATGGCAGAAAGGCCCAGAGAGAAGGAGATGGGGAAGAAAAGGACCAGGGGGCTCTGGGTGCCAGGTGGGTTCACTGTGTGGTACCCTGAGAAACATCTCCCATTGAAGCCATTGGCCTGGGTGTCCCCTGAAGGGAGAGGTGTTGCCAAAGTCAGCCACCTGCCAAGGGACAGGCACAGGAAGTTAGGGATGGGAGCTGGCTGGGCAGAGGGGTGCTCCGGGCTGATTTTAGGCTGGCTTTGCAGATCTGGTCTGGCTTTGAAGTTGTTCCCAAGGGCCTTGGAGACCAGGTTGGAGCAAGGCCCTTACTGAAGATGAATGAATTATACTTGGGTTGGCTTCCTGTGAGTTCTGGTTTACCTCCCTCCTGTCACTCTGTGCTTTGGTTAACACCTTGTTCTGCTGCGCTAGCCTGGCCCTGGGGGGGGGTGGGGTAAGTGAAACCAGGAGAAGGCAGGCAGGGGCGAAAAGTGGGGACTGCACTGCCCACGGGAATCCCAGCCACCAGTGCTAAAGAGCCTCCAGGTGGGGAGGAAGGGGAAGGCATTATGGGATCGTGGCAGGGAGTCAGCCAAGAAGCAGGGCCTGTGGAAAATCTGCAAGGCGACTTGGTGTCAGGGAGGAAGCCCTGGGGTCAGCATTGGCAGGTGGCTGAGCCTGTCAATAGTGAGCGGCTAAGAGGAAGGGGACACATCCTGCAGATTTCCCCTCCCCTGTACCTGGAGGCATCTGGGGCAGACTCTGGGGTTTACCCCACAGAAGCAGCTGTAAGCAGGACTCCAAAGCTCCCTTGGAAGCCATCAGTAGTGTCCTTCAGAGCCACAGAGCTGCTTCAGCAATGTCATTTGGACTGGAACATATTTCTGAGTTCCCACCCAAGTCGCCCCAACAGCAGGTCTCATCACTTTACAGACTCATCTTGTTTTTTGTTTTTTTTTCTGGAAAAGCACACAGTCCTGCACTGGATATCCACCCTGAACCAAAAGTTTCACTCTGTCCTCAAAGGCCAGAGCTTTGGGCCCACGGAGGAAAATCAAAGGAATGAACTCCAAATAATTCCCAAAGGCACATTTTCAAGAGAATGTGGGGTGATGGTGGTGACATTAAAATAAGTGTGGGGGGGGGGGGGCTGTCAAGGTGAGCTCTTTGAGGGGTCAGTGGCAGTGGGGAAGGACTGGTCTAGTAAGCTATGGTTGCAGGATAGGTATCACCAGGCTCTGTCTACATCCGACACAGTGAAGTGACCAAGCCCCAGGGCCAGACCACTTATCTGAGCTTCCCTACTGTGGACATGGCTGAGATCAGTCTCACACCAGGGAACAACAGTGGCACCAACAAAATAGGAAAGACAGAGAAGGAACGGGATATAGCTTTCCTATGTTCATGTGTGAATATATAACCAGTGGAACTCCACATCATGCACAACCACAAGAATGGGAAGCTATCTCCATGTATGGATGTCAAAATACATTCTGTCATGGGTAACTAAAAAGAACAAATAAAACACAAAGAAGGAAGAAAACAATGGCACCATCAAGCTGTATATTCCCCAAATGAGGCCTTCCAAAACCTAGCAACGGACAGAGCTGACCTCCCATCATCCCACCTGTCAGTTTTGACCACAAAAGTTGCTGCACAAAGTACATGACACATGTTTGCTGAATGGGATGGTGTCCCTGAGAGACCAAAAATTTACAGTGTATTGACTTCAAATCTTAAAACAGTGAAAATTAATACTTCTTTCAACATGGAAAGGCAAAGGAGAGAACACTCAGGGAGCCCTGTCCTGTAAGGATGAAGGAAGGGCCTACAGGGGTCTCTGCAGTCTCCTGGTCACAGACTTTGACGTTCTACATGGACTGGGGTTCAAGTTGCCTATCATTTTCTAGCTGCACACATAAGGGGCCAGCTAGTCACCAGGAAGTGGGCTGGAAACAAAGGTAATTGTGCCTGCCTGTGTTCCCAGGACCCTTAGTGTGCAGGACATGCTTAATAAAGAAGGACTGTGGGGGCTAGGGTTATGGCTCAGTCATAAAGCATTTGCTTCACCTGTATGAGGCCCTGGGTTCCATTCTCAGCACCATATATAAATCAATGAATAAAAATAAAAAAATGTCCATCAACAACTAAAAAAACTTAAAAAAAAAAAAAAGAAGAAGGACTGTGGCTTCTCCAAATGAAACACCAGAGCTGCACCCCTCTGGGGAGCCCAGCCTGGGTTCTGTGGATTTACAATGGTAAAGGAGACAGGGAAGACATGCAAACCGGGTGCTGAGGCTCTTCACCCTGGAACAGCTCAGCTCTGACTTGACTCACATCTTAAACTTCCACCTAAAATATGAGAACATATTTTAGCTCCCTAAAGGGTTTGGAAGTCATGACACCAGGTAATGCCTAGCATCCGGCCTAGCAATGAACTTGACATGTGACCAGGATCTAGCTGGGGCTCTCTCTCCATCCCTGGCTCTCCACGCCTCTGGCCCTGTCCCCAGCAAACCGTCACCCTGCCCCTGCTGCAGCTGCGCACCTGGTGAATCGGACCTCGCAGATGTTGCACATGTATGGCTTCTCCCCAGTGTGGGTCCTCATGTGCCGCGGCAGCTTCCCGGCCCCCATGATGACTTTGTGGCAGATGGGGCACTGCTGAGATGCCTTGGGCTTCAGCTTGCGCTCCTCCACCAGTGGCCAGGGTGGGAAGAGGCTCCCCAGGTGGGTGGCACTCAAGAAGTTGAGATAGGCACCGTAGTCGTTCTCTGCCTTGATGGGGCCTAGTGGTCCCCCAGGCAGGTCAGGGAACATGTCCTTGAAGAAGTCGCTAGGGAAGGGTGGGGGAGGGGGCGGGGGCAGCTCTTCCTTCTCTTCCTCCTTGATCTTCCGGTTTTTGATGACCAGATCCAATGGCCCACTGTCCATTGGCTGCTCAGGCAGCTGGGCAAAGGCACCAAAGTCTCCCGGCCAGAGGTGTGGGAAGAAGTCCGGGGCAAACGGAGATAAGGAGGGTCTCCGGTCAGGGATGTTGGCTTTGGGGTACAGGTTCTCCCTCAGCAGAGATTCGATGGAGAAGTCCCGGATCACCCCTAGATGGCCAGGGCTGCCGGCCTGGAAGGAGTCCGGGAAGTCCCTGGGTGTGTCTGAATAGGCCTTCTCCGTGAGATGGTCCGTCTTGGAGGGGCTTTGGTGGCAGTTGATGTCCTGGGGGTCAGGCAGGTTTTCTTGGTCAGCAAAGTCCTCCGTATCGTCGTCGTCCTCCTCCTCTTCCTCCTCCTCCTCCTCTTCGTCCTCCTCGTCGTCGTCGTCTTCGTCGTCGTCGTCATCCTCCTTGTCGTCCTCCTCGCCGCCCTCGCCGCCGGGCTCCATGATCTCCAGGCACACGTTCACGATGCACGGGATCTCCAGCATCCGGGCGGCGTTGAGGATGTGCTTGACGTTGGAGGCGGTGATGGTGAGCGTGGAGGTGTAGGCGAACTCCAGGATGGCGGCCAGCGCCTCGGGCTGCACGAAGTCGATCTCGTACACGTAGGGCTGGCTGGCTAGGCTGCCGGCAGTGAAGAGCTTCTTGAAGTACTTGCTGCAGGCGGCCAGGACCGAGCGGTGCGTGCGGTACTCCTGCTCCTGCACCACCAGGAGCACGTCGCAGAGCAGGCCATCGTGCCGCTGCTCGTTGAGGCTGCACAGCACCTCGCTGCTGTGGTTGGGGAAGGGAATGCCGATGAGCTCGTCAATGCCATTGGCCATGTTCTCCGCCCGAGCCCTGCGGACACGAAGAGGGAGGCGGTTAGCGAGCACGGCTGGGGAGGGCTCCGTTGGGACTCTGGACCCCCTGCTCCCCCGCGCCCTCTGCTCGGCCGAAGGCTCATCCTGCAGGAGAAAGCCAGCCCTCCTCTCTCTGGGCTTGGCCAAACCTCACCTGCAATTCACAGCTCGGCTCAAGCTGGCGCTTCTCTCTGTGCCCTTGGACTCTTGGAGCCACTGGGCACTGCTTAGCAAAGGCCACAGAGACTCCTGGCGGGTTTGAGTCACCAAATTTCACTTTGTAAATGTGGAGCTGGGAATGCCAGCATGAACGACCTCCTGAGAGCCAGCTATTCCATCCTCCCAGGGCACAGTGTCCACCTCCCATACAGGACCACTGGGTGCCTCTGCTGAGGAAACGCTCTGGTTGTCTCACAAGTCCTCAGACTCCTTAACAGACTCCCATTTTGCACTGGATCCCAGGAAGCCTAAGACCAATTTTATGGCCCATTATCAGTAAGTGAGTGGAGCCTCCTGGCATCTGTTTGGTCACCTGCCCCTTCTCCTGGCTTCACTGTAGCTGATGGAGTTTCCTTTCATTTGCAAAACTTGATCTTTTTGTCTTTTAAAACTAACATCTTATCTATGTCTGTCTGTTTCTGTTATAAATAAACACTTGAAACCCACATAGATCCAAGCGCATTGCTAATTAATTTATCATGTCTGGATTCTGTTAGCCTCCCAGTTTTATAAACCCCCGGGGGAAGAATCTTCTTCTGAGATCCCCTTTGTCATTATGGGTGGTCCTGCCTGATGGATGGCTTGAGAGCAAACCAAGAAGGTCCCTGCTCTGATAGGGCAGGGCAACCCTGAGGACAACAGAGCATGCCTCACCAAAGAGGGCATACAGATGGGAAAGAAGTCATCTCCTTTGAAAAGATGTTTCTGGTTGTTAGTCATCACAGAAGTGGAACTTAGAACCACAATAAGATATTGCTACATACCTCTTAGAGTGGCTAAAATTTTAAAAAGTGAAAACACCAAGTACTGGTGAAGATGTGAAGATGGATCACTCATACATTGCTGGTAGAAAGGCAAAATGGCCCAGCCACTCTGGAAAACACATCACAGGTTCTTAGAAAACCAAATACGTAACTATCACAAGACGCTGTGATTGCATTCTTGAGCATTTACCCCAGAGAAATGAAAACTGTGGTCCACACAATAACCTCTACACAAATGCACAGATCTGCTTTATGCACAACAGCCAATAACTGGAAACGACCCAGATACCCTTCAACAGGTGAGTGGCTGAGCACACTGTAGTGCATCCTGAGGATGGGTCAGCAAAGAACAGGAGCATGCAGCCACCTTGATGACTCTCCATGGGATTATGCTGAGCAAAAAAAGACAGTTCCATTGGCTACACAGTGCATGATTCCATTTATGTGACATTTTGGGAATGACAATATAATAGCAATGGAGAAGAGATGAGTGGGAGAAAAGTAGATGTGGCTCTAAGAGCCACAGGAGGGGGTCCCGTGGTGCTAGAAATGTCCTGTAAGTTGACTGGATGCATATCAGTGTCCTGGTCCATATGATACCATGGTTTTGCAAGATGTTACCACTGGGGAAACTGAGCCAAGGGCACATGGGATGTTTCTGTATTGTCTTTCACAAGTGCATGTGAACTAACAGCCAGCTCAAAATAAAAAGTTTAGTTTTAAAAAGTAAATGATAGAAAACAACCCAAATCAATCAATTATTTTCCCTACCCTGATTTCTATCCATCATCTATCTACTGCAGGATATGAGGTGGGGGGTGTGGTAGGAACTATTTTACCCAGGGAGGTCAGTGGAGGCTTCCTGGAGGAAGCATCATTTGAACTAAGACCTAGAAGACGAGAAGGACCCCGCCTTGGGTCACTGCGGGGAACAGGGTGGGAAGGCCCACCAGGGTGCTCTTGGTCTGGAGGCAGTAGGGTCTCTTCTGTGTGGCCCCATTTAACTCGATTTTTCCACTTCTCTATTTCTCTGGTGGCTCTGAGGGGCCATGCCTGCACACATCCCCTGGGGCTTGTGTGGGACTCACTGAAGGATGCTTCTCCTTCACTCTGACCAGAGAGGGTGTCCCTAGGCCATATGCTTCAATGAGCTGTGCTGTAGAAAGAGCTATGGGCTGCTTCCTACCACCTAGAGTAGGAGATGAACTCTTGGGGGCTCCCTCCTTTCCCTGCACCCGAGGCCTGATCCTCACTCTAGCAGTGGGAGCTGGAGGAACTAGGGCAGCCTGCATGGCTGAATACCAGGTGGCTCCTTTAGGACTGCTCTGCCCTAAGAGGGTGACTTTGTGGGCAGTTGGACGGGAGGCCAGCAGGCTGCCCATCTAGGATCTGGATCAGAGGGGCGCTCAAGTCCAAACTACATTTAATTTTGAATGTGTGGAGTCAGAAGCGGTATGACCTCCTATGCAGTGAGCAAGGGGACCTGAGGTCACCTGTCCTTGGGCCCCAGCCCTGTTTTAGATATTGAGGACCCATGAGCAGATTGCAAAGAGAGTGCAAGTTCCCCCGGTCAGCACCTTCTGTCTTCGGGCCAAGTGCTGGCCCTAAGCAATGGTTCCTGGATGAAGTGTCAGGACCACCATCTGCCCTCGGGCCTCCTCACAATACAGGGATCAAGCACCTCCTGTGATCATCACTCCCACTCTACAGATGAGGGGTGGCGTGCAAGGATCTGAGCTTTGAGCCACAGTCAGCTCCAGCCCCTGCCTCTGGCAGCAAGGGTAACCATTTGTCTGCTGTCACCCATGAGTGGCCTGGACTTTGGGTGAAGCGCTCAGGGACACCTATGTGGCAGAGGTTGGGAAACACTGGAGACAGCAAGAGTTGAGTGATCCTGCCTTCCAGGGAGGCTGAACAGGCAGGGCAGCGGCTGACTGAAGGCCCCCAGGCAGCCTTAGGGGTGCAGCTTGAAGACACCCCGAGCCCAGGCTCCAGCACTTCTCACAGTCTCAGGAAGGAGCTCTTCTCTGAGCCCTAGACAGAGCTACTGGTTCCCCAGAAAGGTCCCCTGCTCTGTGGCAGTGGCAAGGCTCTGCTAGGGAAAGAGTATGAGGGAAGGGAGGAAAGGAATCTGAGGTTCAAATTCTCCATTCCACCTTTTGAAAACAGCTGTGCTTGGCAGTCACATGGATGGGGTGCTTGGCCACAACCCTCCGGTTCATGGATCCCAGATGTACCTCTGTACCCCTATTCTTCAATTCCCAATCATAAATTCCATTCTTAGCCTTTAAGCCTTTGCTCACGCTAGGCTCCTGCCTCCAACAAATGCACCTCCAGAACTCCACATCCCACCCACAGTCCAAGGTCCCACTCAGATGACCACTTCTCCATCCCTCGGTTCAGATGCTAGGCCTCTCCAGCCTTTGATCTCCTGAACACTTGATGATCCCTGTCATTTATTTGATTCTGTCTTGTACGGTAACTGGTTTTGTATGTGTTTGGGCATCTCTGCTAGATTATAAGCTGCTTGAGGGCAGATGGTACCTTTAAATGATGGCATTCAGCTGGTGAAGGTCTATGGCAAGGTTGTCCTTAGCCACACTAAAATTAACTGTTGTATGCTGTTCACAATGGTACTCCATCTATTAGAAGATAGTAGTGGCAGATTCAAAGATGGTCCCCAGTGATTCTTGCCTCTTGGTGGCAAGGTTTTGTGTCTTTGTGTGTTCCCCTCCCACATAACTAAGAATGACCTGTGTGACCAATAATCTCTGTGGAAGTGGTGATATGTGACCTCTGGGGTGGGGTCAGGAAAGATATCATTGTTTCAACTTTGCTCTCGTTGGATCATTCATACTGTGGGAACTAGTGGCCATATTGGGAGGATGCTCAAGCAGCTATCTGGAGAAAACCATGTGGCATAGAACTGAGGTCTTCTGCTGACAGCCAACATGTCAATTGTGTGAGGAACCCATCTTTTGAGTGGCTCCTCCAATAGTACTAGAGTTCTGGTAATGGCAGCATTGACTGTAGCCTCATGAGACACATGGGACCAGAGCTGCTCCATTCAGCTTCTCTTAAATTTCTGAGTTTCAGAAGTAGTGAGAAAATAAATATTTATTCTTGCTTTAAATCACTAAGTTTCAGAGTTATTTGTTATGCAGACACAGGGCACTGCTCATTTCACAGACATTATAAATTTGTGATATTTATCATGACAATTTTCTGGCAGATGGCCGGTTAATGTCTCAGCCTAACAAAATCAGCGTATTACAACGTTTCAGTAGATGAAAGCAAATTTATTGAGGAGGTGATATCTTTTTCTAGTTCCCACAAAGCCACCCTATGGGGAGCAGGGTTCTGAATGTCAGAGTGGCCTTCTCCTCTGAGAAGTCTGTGAGTGAAATGCCCCTTCCACTATTAGGTAAAAAGCCAAGGTCAGTAAAACCCCAGGGAATTCGTTTTTTATGGGGAGCTGAGTTTTATTGCTTGCCAGGCACTTATTCCTTTAAAAATGATCATGTTTGAAAACCTTCTTTTGGAAAATTTCTTAGGCTTTTCTCTGCTTTTTTAAGCAGAGGAGTCAGAACCCACTGGTGCTCTGTCTCACTGCATGATAACCGTGCCCGAGCCCACTAAAGAATGGCGTGGGCTCAATGCCCCCTCTCTGAGCTTCTGCAGCGAAGTCTCTACTTGGCAACTTAGAATCAGGAAACTGTAGCTGTGTGGTTTTCAGGAGGCCCCTCCACCTCTCTGGTCTTCTGTTTTCTCATCCTGCCATTGGATGGTTGTGAGAAATCTGATAACACACACATGCATGTCATTGTGACCAAGAAGAACTCAAGGAGGGGTAACAGGCCCTGGTCAGCCTGGACTTGAAGGCTGGTCTTCCCAGCAGCGACTTCTCACTGTATCTTGGTTTGTGGTCTTTGTTCCATTCCTGGAGGAACAGATGTAACCATGGTAGCTAGAGGTTGTTTTTCCAGGCTGAGACTAACCCCGGGGCCACTGGGGC